AATTCAAAAAGATTGAAATTGCATCAAGCAGCTTCTCGACCACAATGTCTGAAACTAGAAATAAATTACACAAAGAAACAAAAAAGCCTACAAACAAATGGAGGCTAAACAACATGCTTCTAAATAATCAATGGATCAATGACCAAATTTAAAAAGTAATCAGGCAATATGTGGAGACAAACGAAAGCAAAAACTCAACAGTCCAAAAACCGTTGCACACAGCGAAGGTAGTTCTAAGAGGGAAGTACACAGCAGCACAGGTTTACCTCAAGAAACAAGGACAACCCCAAATAAACCATCAAAAAATCACAATTCAAAGAAACTAGAAAAAGAAGAACAAATGAAACCCAAAGTTAGTGGAAGGAGGGACATAATCAAGATCACAGCAGAAATAAATAAAAGAGAGAAGAATAAGACAATAGAAAAAATCAGTGAAGCCACGAGCTGGTTCTTTGAGAAACAAACTAGATAAACCCCTAGCCATTATCAATAAAAAAAGGGAGAGTACACAATAAATAAAATCAGAAGCAAAGAAGGAATCGTCCCAACAGATACCACAAAAATACAAAGAATTATTAGAGAATACTGTGAAAAATTATATGCCAATAAATTGGAAAACCTAGAAGAAATGGAAAAATTCCTAGAAATATACAACCTTCCAAGACTGACCCAGGAATAAATAGAAAATCTGAACAGACCGATTACCAGCAATGAAATTGAACTTGTAATAAAAAAACTCCCAATAAACAATAAACAAAAGCGCAATACTCGATGGCTTCACAGCTGAATTCTACCAAACATTTAAAGAAGACCTAATACACATATATCTTAAACTATTCCAAAAAGTAGAAAAGGACGGAATACTTGCAAACTCATTCCATGAAACTGGCATCATAGACACTACAAAAAAAGAAAAAAACAGACCAGTATCACTGATGAATATAGATGCAAAAATTCTCAAAAAAATATTAGCAAATTGAATTCAAAAATACATCCAAAAGATCATTCATCATGACTAAGTGGGATTTATTCCAGGATGCAGGGATGGTATAATATTCATAATCAATCAATATCATACACCACATGAACAAAATGAAGGGTAAAAAACACACAATCATCTCAATATATGCTGAAGAAGCATTTAACAAAATTCAACATCCATTCATGATTAAAAATTCTCAACAGAACAGGTAGAGAGGATACATACCTCAATATAATGAAGGCCATATATGACAACCCACAGCCAACATCAAACTTGATGGCAAAAAGCTGAAAGCTTTTCCTCTAAGATTAGGAACAAGACAAGGATGCCCACTCTCACCATTTTTATTCCACACCATACTAGAGGTCCTAGCACAGCAATCAGACAAGACACAGAGATAAAAAGCATCCAAACTGGTAAGGAAGAAGTAAAACTCTCTCTATTTGCAGGTGACATTACATTATATATAGAAACCCTAAGGACTCCACCAAAAAACTGTCAAAACTAAACTGGATTCAGCAAAGTTGCAGGATACAAAATTAAACACAGAAATCTGTTGTGTTCCTGTATCCTAACAATGAACTAACAGAAAAAGAAATCAGGAAAACAATTCTATTTACAGTTGCATCAAAAAGAATAAAATACCTAGGAATAAACCTAACCAAGGAAGTGAAAAACCTATACTCTGAAAACTACAAGACACTCATGAGAGAAATTAAAGATGACACCAATAACTGGAAATCTATCCCATGCTCACAGAGAAGAAGAATTAATATTGTCAAAATGGCCATCCTGCCTAAAGCAATCTACAGATTCAATGCAGTCCCTATCAGAATACCAACATTATTCTTCAATGAACTAGAATAGTTCTGAAATTCATACAGAACCACAAAAGACCCCGAATAGTCAAAGCTATCCTGAGAAAGAGCAAAGCTGTCGGGTTATGCTCATTGACTTCAAATTCTACTACAAAGCCACAGTAATCAAAACAGTATGGTACTGGCACAAGAACAGACCCATAGATCATTGGAACAGAATAGATATAATATGCATATATCATCAATTAATATATGATATGGGAGTCATGAATATACAAGGGAGAAAAAAAAGCCTCTTCAATAACTGGTGCTGGAAAAACTGGGCAGCTACCTGTAAGAGAATAAAACTAGATTACTGCCTAACTTCATACACAAAAGTAAACTCAGAATGGATCAAAGACCTAATTGTAAGACATGAAACCATAAAATTCTTAAAAGAAAACCCAGACAAAAATCTCTTGAACATAAGCATGAGCAATTTTTTCCTGAACACATCTCCTCTGGCAAGGAAAACAAAACCAAAAATGAACAAGTGGGACTACATCAAGCTAAAAAGTTTCTGTACAGCAAAGGACACCATCAGCAGAACAAAAAGGCATCCTACAATATGGGAGAATATATCCATAAACAACTCATCTGATAAAGGGTTAACACCCAAAATATATAAAGAACTCATATGCCTCTACACCAAAAATAAATAAATAACCCAATCAAAAAATGGGCGGAGGACCTGAACAAACATTTCTCCAAAGAAGAAATACAGATGGCCAACAGGTACATAAAAGATGCTCCACACCACTGATCACTAGGGAAATGGAAATGCAAATCAAAACCACAGTGAGATCACCTCACACCAGTCAGAATGGCCACTATCCAAAAGACAAGGAATAACAAATGCTAGAGAGGGTGCAGAGAAATAGGTACCCTCCTATACTGTTGGTGGGAATGTAAATTGGTACAACCACTGTGGAAAGCAGAATGAAGGTTCCTCAAAAAACTAAAAATAGAAATACCATTTGACCCAGGAATTTCACTCCTAAGAATTCACCCAAAGAAATAAAATCCCGGATTCAAAAATTATGTATACACCCCTATGTTTATCGCCACACTATTTGCAATAGCCAAGATATGGAAGCAATCCAAGTGTCCATCAATAGATAGATGGATAAAGAAGATGTGGTACATATACACAATGGAATATTATTCAGTCATAGAAGAAAATAAATCCTACCATTTGCAACAACACGGATGGATCTAGATGGTATTATGCTCAGTGAAATAAGCCAGGTGGAGAAAGACAAATACCATATGATTTCACTCATTTGTGGAATATAAAACAAAGCAAAATAGAATGAAAAAAACAGCAGTACTCTCACTTACCAACTTTACATTTCCCTGTCTGGCCCCGGAAGATGACTGGTTAGCCAGAGATGGGTAGGATTCCTCAAGGGAGGACAACTTAAGACAGGCACAGTCGCAGGGGGGCTATCAGGTGAGAAATTGGGGATCAACAGAGGTGAGGCTTAGAACCTCACCCCCCCTGTTTTGAGAGAAATCTTCTGCATCTGTGGATGTTTTATTGCCCTTGTCTAGCTTGGATTAATATTTAGCTTATAGGCACACACCTGATCATCTACATTTGCTTTCTTACAGCACTAAACTATGTTTTCTACCTTTATCTTGCATCTACCTACCACTTCAGCATTTTATTAAAAATAAAATAATAATAAGGGAGAAATGTGGGATTCACATATAAATCAAGTATAAAAATCAAATGAATATTCATATTTGACCTGATTGTTTATAGTTCATAATGTGTGATCAAAACCGAAAGTTTCTGTGACAACTGCCCTTGTACTGTTCACCATGTAAGAACTTATTCACTATGTAAGAATTTGTACACCATGTACGAACTTGTTCGTTGTGCTTCAGAAGATCCGAGACTGATGAGAATTAGACTTGGGGTGGATTAATGATTGTGCATTCAGTCCCCTGTACAGAATTTTATTGTTGTTAACTGTTAACAACCATTTGATCAATAAATATGAGAGATGCCCTCTCAAAAAAAAAAAAAAAGTTTGAGTAAACCACATTTTTAAAACAAAAAGCAGTCTTAACACACCTCAAATTTTGGATACCAATGTATTCTGTCCAAGTAAATAGCTTATATCAAGAAAGAACATTTTAAATATTTCTATAGTAAATAGTTGTAATAATTTCTTAAAACTTCCAATTATACAAATAAAAAAATGTTTGTGAATAATAAAAAAAAAAAAAACACAGCAGTAGACTTATAGACACTGAGAAGTGACTTACCATGGGGTTAAGTGGTTACCATGAGGGATGGGTTGGGGTGGGTGAGTGGGGAGAGTGAGGCGGATAAAATTCTCAGTCATAATATAAGTTGGTCATGGGTACAGCATGGAGAACACAATGATGCTGTAACATCTTCCTATGCTGACAGTAACCACATAGAGGGGGTGAGGATTTAATAATATGGGGAACCACTGAACCACTGTGCTGTATATTTGAAACCAGCCTAAGATTATATATCAGTGATACTCCAATAAAAACTTTTTTAAATTTCTTAAAAAGTCACTGAGTGTGAACTTAAATATGCAGGGGCATTTGTGGACAGAGTGGCAAGGGATTGAAAAGTGGCACAGACAACATCACTGCACCGATTCTTCTACGCCCAGCTTCCACACTGTTTGACCTCAACAATCTCCAGAACACATGTACATCAAATGCAACAGCAGACAGGGATTCCTGCAATACATTCTTTCTCCTCTCAGCTCATTTAACTCACACAACAAAAACGTGATCATTCTTAAACTATCTGCAGTAAGAACCCCAAGGAAGCAAACTCCTCTGCCTTGCTTTTTTTTTTTTATTTTTTTAACTAGAAGAGCTTCCCTATAAAAATCCTAAATTTTCTAAAATTCCAGCTATTGATAGGAAATTTAGTGGGTTTCAATATCATTAAGAACCTCTCCTCCAATACTTAGTTATTTCTACTTCTCAAGAACACTGAAAGAACATATAAAAGTCAGCAGTTTTGTCAGAAAAATTAGCAGAGTAAGACAGACTGATTTTAAAATTACCTCAATTCATTCTGTCTAGTCAACTCTTATCAACCTAAACACTCATGCCAAATAGAAACCCAGCAAGCATACCACTTCTGCTGGGTAATAACTCACTTTGAAACAGTCTGGATGATGAAAACATCTTTTCCCCTTATGGATTCCTGAATTTGTACTCTTGTTTCTGGCAAGAAAAGGAAAAATGGGGAGAAGGGAGAAAAAAGGCATATAATTTAAATTTTTAGAAATACGTAAAAAATCTGCATCATTGCCCAATGTTATAAAGTATAGAAATTGGAACTGTTACAAAACTCATTAGGCTGCAGAGGATTAGGCATCAAGGATAACACACATACTGCCATCAATCACACATTTTAAACATTAAGTTACACAATGTGCTTATGAAAGAGTTACATTTCTAACTTGAACTAAGTAAATGTGCTTATGAAAGAGTTACATTTCTAACTTGAACTAAGTAAATCGGCCCTTCTTTCTTCTCGTATACAAGCCATGAGTGCCGTGCTGCTCTGAGCACAGTATCTTTATAGGAAATTATATACCTATTTATTCAATTAACAACAATTAAGAACTTATTGGACACAAAATGTAATGATATGAGAATAAAGACAAATAAGGTCCAATATCCCTATTCTCAAAAACCTTGTGATCAGCCACAAGGAAACAATTAGACAAATCCGGAACAGGACATTCTATAAGAGAAGCTCTTCAATAAGTCTGTCGTGGGAACTAAAAAGAAAAGGTGAAGGGACTGTTCTAGAATGGAAAAACTAGATATAAAAACACATTGCTTAAACCAAGAATTCCTGGTTTGGAAAAAAAAAAAAAAAGGAGCTATAAGAGGTTCTTTAGAAGAACTAGGGAAATTTGAATATAGACTAAATATTACATGATCAGAGAATTATAATTAATTTCTTTAAATGTGACAACTCTAAGATATTTATGTAGGAGAAAGTCCTTCATAGGAGATGTACGGTCAAGTGTTCAAGAGTTAAGTGTCTTGATGTCTGCAACTTACTTTCAAGCAGATTCACACATACATATTCAAACAGCAAAATCTCAACTGCTGGATACAGATGGTAGGCATATATATGGGGATTCTTGGTACTATTCTTTCTGTGTTTTTATAGGTTTGAACATTTTCCTTAAAAATATTGGAAAAAATAGAATACATGTAAACAAAGGAATGTGGTACCATGGAAAGAAAATGAGCTTTAGAGGCGGGGAAGATCAGATTGAATCCTGACACTGCTGCTTCTGGGACGTTGTACCTCACATCATCCTGAACTCAGTTCTTCAGTATCTGATGGCAGTGAGGAACTCACAAATGTTAGTTTCCTCCCCTCCTTCCCAACAGACACTAAGTATTTTTTCCCCTCATTTGTGACTGGAGGGTGGACCAGCATCCTGCGTCTTCCACACTATCTCTCACCTTCCTTCTGGACTAGACAAAGGACATCACCTAATTCCCATTAGTGGCAGAATCTTCTCCAAACTCTCCCTACATTTTTTTCTATTATACTTTCTTCCTATTGAAGACACATAGGGGATCTTGGGATACAGGAAAGAGGCAGTAATGGAGAAATAAATAGGAGAAGAGAAAATGTGTCCCTTTTCAACAAAGTCTCCCTTAAGTTCTCTACTATTTAAGTACTTGACAAAATCTAACAGGAGAAAAGGAGAGGGAACTGGTTTACTGAACACCTAGAATGTGCCACGAATTGTGTTAGGTACACAAATTATTCCATTTAATCCTCAAAACAGCCCTAATTATTTACAGTTTAGAAAGGTTAAATGACTTGCCAAGGATAAGGTGTCTGACTCTCAAGCCCATCTATCACTCCACCTAAAATAATTTCAAATATCCACCATTTCTACAGAAACTACAAAGATACAATAACACACACTTTTTCCAACTTGGGGTGTTTATGTAATGACTTAAATCAATTAGCAAGAAAACATTTCCTCATGTTGCATGAAGTCTAACCCACGTAGGGTTACCCGGAGGTAAAAAGAAAAGACTGACTGATATTGTGGCCACACAGGACTTACTTGTTCTGCCTCAGGTGACATAAATGGAACCAACTAGTATCGCCATTTGGCTGACCAGCTGGTTCATGTATCTGTGCAGTTTTTGGACGAGGTTTAAAAACTGGAGTTTAAGGCCTCAGACTGGCTTGCCCCAGGCTTCCATAGCTAGTTGGGATTAGTGGGAGCTAAAATACCATTCACCCACCTTGCCTGCCTGACTTCCAGCTAACAGGACCAACTGGATACTGAGTCTAACTTGTTCAATAGTGGAGGATGAAGGACTGAGCCAGGAATCCCATATTCTCAAAATCCTTGTGATCAGCCACAAGGAAACAATTAGACAAATGTGTTTTGTGGACAAAAACACCAACATTAAGCACGTCCAAGATAGCTCACCTCTGTTAGGTTCCTGGTAAACCTGCACTTTGCCCATCTCCACTCCCAGCCGCCTAGAGAAGAAAAAGGAGGAAAAGCTTAAAAGGTGATAGAATAGACTCAACATCTTTGCTATTTAAGAATGATTCATAAATTGATAAGAATAAAACAAAATAAAATACAAGTGCTGACAAATTTAAAGTGGACATTAAATTGCTCCGTTACCCCACTACCCAACCCCTCCCCCATCCCATGCCTCCCCAAGAAGGCCTAGGCAGTCCCGCTGCCGGCTTCACCCACCATTTCCTCTGCTCCTGTTCCTGAGCTACACCAACACCTGCTGCACAGGCAGGGCCCTTGAACCTGCTGCTCCCTCTGCCTGTATGACTTTGCCCCCAGACCTCCACTGGGTGGCTCATTCAAGTTTCTCAACTCACATACCATCCCCTCAGTTTAAAAGGCACCTGAGCACCCAAGTTAAAGCAGAACAGTCTGCCCCTATCATTCCTTTCACACTGTTTCTTCAGTGTTTATTACCACCTGAAATTATCTTGCTTGTTCAGTTGACTTGTTTCTTGTCTGGCTCCCTTACTAGACTATGAAGGAAGAATCTTGACTGGCTTGTTTACTGTTAATCTCCAATATCTAGATTGAGACCTAGCACATAGTTAAGTGTTCAATGTTTATTTAACAAATAATACAATCACACTGAACTCTAATCTATAAACTACTTTCACGTAGTATACACTTCATTGTTCAAATAATTCTACACAAATCCGGCAGCTAACACAATACCTGGCATTCATGAGGCACCCGATACATGTGTGCAGAATGAATGTGTGGGGAGTTAAATGACAGTTTACAAAATGATTAGCCCTTAACAAATAAACAATACACAGATTAACCATAAAATATCTGCTTTCAAGTTTAACAATGAGTGCTAATCCTATCACCGAATTTTAAAAAATCACATAATGAATACAAATTTTAATAGTGTGATTATAACTCACTCAGCAATTTTCTTTGAAAGCTCCATACACGATGAATTAGAATTTGCTGAAAACAACACCAGACCTCCTTTAGTTATGTTCATCTTGGTTTCTAATTCAGGTGGCACCACACAAAACATCAAAACCTTTTTGGTTTTCCAATTCTCAGAGCCTAGAAGGATACAAATTATATTAAGAACTGATACATATTAAAAACACACAAATGGATTTTTTTTTTAATACAAATGACTTAAGCTGAATGAAATTAGTTTTCACCATAATGAAGTCTTTAATATTAAAAATATATGGACAAACAGTTGATTTGGATTTCAGGGTTCCAAATTTATGGAAATGTTATCATATGATTTTATTAGTTTTTTATGACCACTGGAAATAAACAATAAACTTACAAGAAAGGCGGAGCTGAAGAGCTCAGTGTTCTATTGCTTGCTGCTTAAAGTCAGTTATGGACAACCTCCTTTTATTCTCTGACAACAAAATTCCTCCTGGATTAACACAGAAAAATGGCAGAGCCATCAGCAAGAACATGAACTGATTGATCCTGAAAAAAATGAGTAAATAACCCATCTATGCCCAGGTTTCCCCACAATACCTTTTTCCCATAACACCTCTCCCTGCCCTTGCGGCTGGCTCTCCAGTGCCCTGAGTCACTGTAGCTGAAACTGACCTTGTCATCTATATTTTCCCCAACTGGAACACAAGGTTGATCACACAATGACCTTGAAGGAAAGTGAACTGACCACCCAATTGATAGGCAGGGCACAATCAGAAAAGACTCTGGCTGAGATGCCATCAGAGCCGAAGTTCTAATTCCAGAGGTCCTTAACGTGCGCTTCCACCACCCACTCTGGGCTGTGTTCTTACCACCAAGGAAGGTGCAGGACTGGATGCAGCAGCAACAATGTGGGGGCAGGGCACTTTCCCACAAGCCCGCGGTTTACTTGGGATGGCTCTGGGAAGGCTGGTGGAATTTATGAAAGGGCTGAAGCTGAGCAGACCTTTCTTTTGTTATTCTTAAATCTTAATTTCACAAGTAATATACAAACACATTATCCTTGTAAAAAACTGAAACATAGTTTAGGCTAAAGGCACCAGCCCCAGTTCCGCACTCCTTCCCACCCACCTCCCCAGAAATGAATAATTAGTTTGATAATAGACACCATCAGGCCTTTACACATTCATACATGACCCTCATAAAAAGTACATATAAAAATACATTTCTAACATCAAAAGAGATCATCATACCAATCTACAATCTGTTTTGTTGAACAATGTATTTTGACTACCCAGATTAGAAAATACAGACCCATTGTGTCCTTTTTAACCACTGCCAGTATTCTATGGTGTGGAGATGCTGCCTTTAGCAGAGGTCACCATCCTAAACAGGCCTTCTTGGGTGGGTGTGCATGTCTCTGCAGGAACTGCAAGGGACCCACGAGCAACTGACAGTCCCACCAGCAGCACAGAAGAGCATACTTCCCCAAGGAGTGCCTCTTAAAGGGCATTCCACAATGGGAAATATGGGATGCTATACAACATAATTGAACTAAAGCTCATGAATTACAAACAGAAATGCATGTACAACTGACAAAAGCCCTAAGGAGACCCAGAAGACCACTGGTGTCTATCATGGAAAGAGGCTTTGAAACAGGAATCAGCAAACTACAGCCGGTGAGTCAGATTAGGTCCCTCCAAAGGCTATTTCTATAAATCAAATTGCATTGGAACACAACCACACTCATTGCTTACAGATTGTTTATGGATACAATGGTAGAATTGAGTATGGGTCACAAAGACTAAAGTATTCATTATCTTGCCCTCTACAGAAAAAGTTTGCTGACTCCTGCTTTACAGCAGTGTGGGGCAGAATGGTGATATAAATGGAAGAAATCACATTTAAGCATCAAAACTCAAGAGTTGGAAGAGCTCTTAGGTGTCCTCTAATACCATCTCTCAGCCAGTATATGTCTGATTTAGGAACGGGGGCACAGATCTGGGAAAGGAAACAACAAAAACAAAATTCATTCTCCTGTTGTTACAAATACAGGCTTTGGAGTCAAACTAATGTGTGCACCCTGGCTCCTACTTCCCCTTAAGCCATGGGAGGCTGTGCATAATTCTCTCAGCCTGTTCTCTCACCCAAACAACTGTGCATACTGAACTTACAGGGTTATTGTAAAATTAGTATCTGTGTAATACTTAACACACTGCCTACAGGATATACTTGATAAATGAAAGCTACATAAGAACTGACTTCTGATATTCTGGTTGTTTTCCAAACAAGTGGCATAGGGTGGCCATCTTTTTACAGCCCCAACCTTCAAAAAGGAAGCTTCTTAAAGCACAATAGTGTTCTTGAGAGAGCTTGGACCATTTGGAAAGAGATGGTGGAAAGAGATCTTCTAGGTAACTTGGCCTGCCTACAGGATTCCTGCCAAGGGACCTCTCCAGATGCTTAAACAGCCCAGAGCCTGATGCCCACATCCTGAGGGCCGATCCTTCCCCAATTCTCCCTGAGAACGCCTAAGACTCCTCTCTCTGCAGACTCCACCCCCCTGGTCCCTGTCCCTTCATTCAAAGTTTATAGGAAATACCAAATTCCTTTTCCACAAGACAGTCCCCAGCCTACCTCCAGACAAGCTCTCCTACCTCTCTCTAGTCTCTTCTCTGGGATATTTCCTGGAGCCTTTCCTTATTGGCCGTGGCTTAAATCCCTTCCTTACTGGCCGTGGTCTCTGAAGTTCCAGTCTTCAGATATCAGGTTTCTATTGAAACCTCACTTAAGATTACCCTCAGAATGGCACCGGTAAGGGCATCCACTTGGAATTGGTTACCAATACAGTCATGTTCTGTGACTATTCATTTCACAACTTGTTCAAGCATAAGTACTGTTGCTGGTTTTAGCTCTCCTCATTTCCCTACTGGAAATTCGAGTTATGCTCTTTACCAAGTTTCAAGAGAAGTGAGTTTTCAAGAGTATCTCCAGAAACATGATAATCACCAGGATAGGGCTGGCAGAAGGCTCATTAGCACAAGGCTTTATTGTGAGATGCAGAATAAAGAGAACACTCCCCTTTTTTCCCCTGAAACTACAGGTGCTTTTACATTTAACCAAAACTAACCCTAGAATGTGTGAACATTATTTATAACATATATGAAAGCAAACCCTTTTCTGAGAATCTCAGCACTATGCAAAAAGCAAATCACGCTCCTCTTTGAATCAGACTTGACAAATCTGTTCAGTCTCACGAATGATGCCACACTGAAAGACCACTTGCCCTGGACATGCTAGCAGTCAGTTCAAAACCACTCATCTTCATTTCAGACAAAGAAGCCTGCCACTCCAGTGTTGCTTTGCCTCTGTGTAAACCCCTCCTATTCAAAGATGGCTGGAGTAGGAGTGTGGAGACTTGGGTTTACCTTGCGTGGTTACTAGCTACCAGTTCTTGGGTGGGTCACTTGTCCTCACCAGGCCTCTCTGCCTTCCCCCATCAATGCAGATGGATGCTTGGGAAACAAGCTTCCCCCACTAGAATTTAAAGTCCAGGACAGCTATTATATTCTCTTCTGTATACCCAGTCCCTAGAACAGCACCTGGCCCGTGGTAAAGGCTCAACAAATGTTTGTACAATAGCATGTTTCATAAATAAAGCCTGACCTCTTTGAGTCGGTAGCACTGATGAGCAAATGAACTAAAAGTAGTGTGCAGAGTAGAAGGTATCATAAAGTACAAGGAATTACTGTTTTTATTAGTGGCATACCTCACCCAAAAAATATTTGCTTTTTTTCCATCAGTAATGAAGAGAATTAGGAGGGCAAACCTAAATTGCATTCATCTTCCATGGCTCTGTGACCCCAGGTATTCTGCTTTCTCTCCATGAGAATGTTTTCCTATGACTTAACACCATTTTCTGGGTGCTGCAAATTTTTATGACATCTCGATGAAGCGGGGACTAGAAGCAGACCCATTTTAGGCATGGGGGAAATGAGGCTTGGAGATTAAGTTTCTCAAGGTTGTATGGCCTCTAAGCAGCAGACATTACCTCAGTTTCAGTCTGACTTGGAGCACAGTTGTATATAGCAGCAGGCTGTACTGCCTGTCTCCCAACACCACAGAAAATGACTTGACATCCCACTGAATTTCGCATTACAGTGAACAGAATCAGACAAATATCCAGATTTTGAAAAATGTCTACAGTAAACACGCCTTGTTTGTAAAACAATTTATACATCAGGAGCCAATGAAAGAGCACAAAACTTTGATTCATGTGTCCCCCTTTGGGAATTTATCCCACGGAAGAAAAAAAAGCTGTATGCAAAATGCAAGGTTTTCCAAAAAGGAGGAAACACTGAGCATATGGAGGTTCCATAATGGGGAAACTAAGTAAAACTGAATATACATTACATATAAAAAAGACATTATATATCCAGGTCAAACAAAAGTGCTCATGTTATGTGGAAGAAGGCAGACTCTCATCTCCGCTAATCAAAACTGGATAATCATGGTATAGGCTAGGTCAGGAAAGGAATACGGACAAGAAGAAGGATAGGATTTAGTGGGGTTAAATAATGCGGCTGAATTATTTTTATTTGTGCATTTAAATTTTTTAAACATTAGAAATCACACTTTCTGAGGCCCCAAGCCCCCATTCTGCGTTTCCTATTCCTTAGAAAAAGCTAAACACCCAAACTGCGCCAACATTAGGAAGGGGGAAAAAATCCTTCTCATCAATGTAAAACGTTGGGGGAAAACATTTTGAAGTAAAATAGTATCTAAAAATCACATCGAAGTCCTCCCTCAGTTGCTCTGCTGGGTGAGTTCTGAAGGGAATAAAATTATTTTGGGGTAACCAATGTCCGCCACGAGCACGGGCAGTCAAATTAAAAACAGGGGCTTTGTCAGACTAGGAGATGGAGCACAGATGGTTGGGTCTGAGGCTTGTTTCCTGAGCTGCCCGGCCGCAGGTCCCACAATTAGGGCTCACTCCCAAAGGCGCCTGGAGCCGGGGAGCCCCAGGGGCCGCGTCTCCCGCGGGCCCCAGGCGGGAGAGCAGCGAGCGGGGAGCGGCGGCTGCGGCGCGAGGCCGGGGTGTCCCTGCTGCACCCACCCGCGCCGCCGCCTCCCCGGGACCGCGCGACCGGTCCGCCAGTCGGCGCCGAGGGGCTCCCCGCCCCTTGCACCTGCGCCCCGCAGCGCCGCAGCCCGCCTGTCCGCGCCGCCACTCGTCGCTGGCTCCCGCCCGCCTACCTGGCCCCGACCCCAGCCCCGGCCCCGCCGCAGCCACCACTGCCGAAGGAAGAACACGCCGAGTCTCCAAGCAGCGTCTCTAGGAGCAAAATGGCGACTCCAGACACGAGAAAGACGTCCGCGACAACTGCGAGGCCTGTGGGCGAGGCCAGGGGCGGGATAGGGGCGGGGCCGGGGCCGGGGTGCGAGGGACACCTGGCTCGGGGCCGTGGGCGTGGCCCGCCCCAGGGGAGGAGCGAGGCTCCGGGCTGACTACCGGGGGCGAAGACAGGTCTGCCTCAGGGGCGGAAGGTGGGCGGGGAGGGGGGCCCGGGCCCCCCTCGAAGCTGCCAGCCCCCAGTGCAGCTGAGAAAACCAGGGTGTACGCTGAGCCCGATGGCTGGAGTTACCAACGTCTGGGTGCAAGTCTTCACTGGCCTGAAACCTGGACAAAGTCACTTCACCTCTCTGAGCCTCAATTTTCTCATCTGAAAATGGAGTTGCTAGTAGCACCCATATCATAGGGTGGTTGTGAGGACTTGGTGGGGTAACCTGAAAGCTGTGTGCACTCCGCTGCTGTTACTATTTGCCTTGTTGCCCTTTGTTCTTGCATCATAAAGGAATTAGGGCTTTAGATATCTGTTGCCTGAATTCTTTATAATGTAAGTGCATTTGCCCATTATTATAAGTGTAACACAATAACAAACACGTATATAGCATTTACCATGTGTCAGGCCAAGTCCACTCAAGTGCTTATTATATATTAACCGTAACCTATTTAATCATTACAAGACTATGAGGTCGGTATGAGTATCTCCATTTTAACAGTTGCGGGCACTGAGACACCGATGTTGAACAACTTGCCCAATGACAAACGGTACAAGAATTTCCATCCAGGCGGCCCGGCACCAACGTCTGCACTACGCTAACCTGTAAACCACACCGCGTCTCCAATTTTGCTTTGTATTTTTCACAAGCGTGAAGCATAAATAATTCATTAAAGGTTGAGCAGCTAGCTAGAAGCAGCCATCCCTCCTAGTACAGCCTCTTATTTTACATTTGGGAAAATACAAGTATCTCAATTTATGAACTATAAATTAGGTGACACTTTGTGAAATGGAGTCATTTGAGACATTTCTTCTGCCTGACAACTTTACAGGGACATACCTCTGCAAAGAGCAAGGCCCATAAGCCCACTGATAGTTGCGCGAGACAAAACAAAATCCTCTTCCAGCAGACGTTTGCTGATTACCTCACTTCGGCATTCTGATCTAACTACAAGCCCACCCCACCGGCCCATTTTGTCCTGCGTTGGCTCCTCCCTGCATGCCACACGTTGGCGTGTGACTGGATCTGACCAATCAGGGAAGTTCATCCCTCTGCGCTCACTGATTGGCTCCAATGGTAGGCCGCTGAGCCAATCGGAGCCAAGGAGACAGTCTGCAGCTGCCTGTGGACCTGCTGCTGGATACCTGGAGGGAGGCACCTGAAAGAGATGCTGGGAGAGGGAGGAACATATCCGGCCCTGTTGAGTTTAAGCTGAATCTAAAGTCAGTGGGTCCCTGGATTTTTCAGTTATGAGAGCAAGTAAATTCCTCTCCCGCACCTTCTGAAGCCAGCGTGGATTGGGTTTCTCTCATTCACTGTGGCCTCATGTTCTCCGCCTGCTTACTTCTCAGCTGATCCTCCATCCTTGAACTATGGGGCTTTTGCAGTGCTGTTCCTGCCTCCAGAAATGCACTTCCTCCTGTAGTTCTCACCCCCAGCAGCTCCTATTTAAACTACCTCTCAGCTCAATTGTCATTTTCAAGCTTTCCCCAAACCACTCCCCCCTAAACTAAAACCTTTTTCATGTACCTTTCCTTCATTAAGTTTACAATGATTGCTAATTATGTATTTATTTGAGTGATTATTCTATAACTATCCCACCGCCATTCCCACAGACTGTAAGCCCCCAGGGAAAAAGTCCCATTGTCTCTTTTGATCACTGTTTCGCAGTACCCAGCACAGTAGCTGGCACATGTATGATACTCTAGAAATGTCTGTAAAATGGGTGGCCTCAGATTTACCTCCCTCGGTGGAAAGGAGGTGGGTATACTATTTGCACCATACAGAGAGAGTATTCCTGAAATTTTAAAAATCAGCTCTTGTGAGCCAGTGTGAGCTAGCTCACCCATTTTACTTCTCTCAGGGTCCACAATGGAACGTCTAGTTTCTCATCGGTTTTCCCTCACTGCAGGCACTTAGCTTATAGTTTCCTTTGCTCTATTAGATACCACTGCTCCATCCATTTTCTATTTCCCAAAGGCTCTTGTGAAACTCCTCAAGAGCTGATGTCTCACCTCCCATTCTCTTTATCCTTGGGGTTTAGGCCATGGGAGTGAGCGGTGGTGGCCAGCCAGCCCAGATGACCCACCAGCGACGGCAGCCCCAGTCACCACCTGACTGCCACCATATGAGAGACTCCAGTGAGAACTGCCCAGCTAGCCCAGTCAAACCACAGAAAATCTAAAGATTATAATAAATTTTTGTGTTAAGGCACTGAGTTGGAGATGTGAAAATGAATAAAGGGAAACCTCTCTGCCATGGGGCAGGAGGCCTTGCTGAGGAGTTCTCAAACCCAGCGCTCCTCATTAGTTACAAACCTCACCCAAATAGATGGACACCTTTACAGGTCATCCTGTTTTAGCTACTTCTCTACCCAGCAGGAAGAGAGAAAAATTTCTGCCTCCCCAACCCCAGCAGCCCAGCCAGTGAGAGACTGTCACAACTCAGCCAATGAGAAGCCACAACAGGAGGGACTCCAAGTTTCCTCTGATGGGCTTTTTGCTTACAATAGTCCTCCCCACTAGGCCTTTCCTGTATAAAGAGCAGAAGTCTCCTTTACTCTCCCTCCATGCCTATGGGTTGCCATAGCTTGCTTGTCTCAAACTGCAATTGTCTGCTGTTCCCTCCCCCACCAAAAAAAAAACGTTCTTTCTGGTAAATGACAGTTTTATTTTTTAAGGTTTACAAGTGTCTTCTTACCCAGCTATGGGTAATGGGCCAGAAAGGAGCAGAACCAAAATCAAAGGACTTTGGTCAATTCCAACACTAATGCAGTTTCTGGTTAGTGTATTCCTAAGCTTTATAATGTCTTGCTCAGTTGGAGGTTTGTAGTCTTTGCATATTATGGAAGGGCTCAGCTCGTCTGCACCATACCATTGACCATTTTCAAGGGCCAAACTACTGTACATAGAATATGAATCAAGATGCCCAAGCCAAAGACATTTTCTTCTATCTTTTTTAGAGGAAAGAAAAGAATCTTTGTAATAGTTTTATACAAGTTTTTCAGCAGGTTGGTATAACAGGAAACTCAGACTTCTTCAAATGATTGTTGAAATAAAAACACTGGGACATGACCATCAGTCACTATGACTGAGATCTGCATCCTGCCTCCCCATTACAGACATGACCTCAGATGGAGAGGGGAAGGCACCTCTCTGGGCTTCAGTTTCCTTACCTGAAAATTGGGTCCTGAGATTAGCAGCCATATGAGGGTTCAGGGTGGGGAATTGCCTTTCCATGGAATCCATGAGTAAGAGGCTCCCAAAGGGAGCTGTTTTGAAGCTGACTCTCCACCCTCACATCTCTGACCATCAGTAATGAATAAACAAGGCTTTGGTTTTTCTCCACGTGGAAGAGGATGGCAGCCTATCTGACCTGGGAAGGTTGCAGGGCTAAGGAGCTGGTCACTAGTCAAAGGGATGTTGGAAGTTTCAATCATTGAGTCTTTTCCCCAATCCTCCAGATTTTCTCCTTTTTCTGTTACCCCCAAAATGAAAGGAGTTTCATGGTCACTCATGATTATTACTATTTACATGTTGTAAAAAATATTCAAGCAAAGAGAAAAAAATCAAAAAGATTGCCATTATCTCACCACAGAGAGATAACCACTCCTGACATTTTCTTAACCTCCCTTTTCTACTTAACAATTTGTTGCAGACATGGCTCCCGCTAGTGAACTCAGGTCACCAGCATCATCACATGTGCCAGTGGACTACAGTGCCCAGACATGGGAGCCACACAGCCTGTGTCGAAATTCTTTCTCCTCTACCCACCAGATGTTGGCCTCTGTGGGGAAGTTGGAGTTCCTATGGCCAGGATCTTAGCTGAACTTAAACCACCTGATGATGTAACTGACCTGTTGCTAGGCTACCGCTTCCACACCCTTAGGCAATAAGCTGTTATTGCACTAATAGAGAGCTCAGCCCAGTGCTCTGGGTGGAGGCAGAGATGCTAGTGCTCGACCTACCGCCAGGAGGACAAGCCGGGTAATAAACCCTTTCACCCCAAAGAACGTTTTGCTGTCAATTTCTTTGGTCACATTGAATCCATAGCGAACTTGCCCGGGGCTGAAACCCATTGGCAAGACAATTGGTTAAAGTCCGCAGGGTTCATTGTTGACCAATGAAAAAGACAGGCTGCCTTTATGAGAGGGGTGCTTCAGCAGACAGCCCCTGTGAATGGGGAAACAGTGGATCGTCCCCCAATGGGTATGTGGTCTGAGGTGGCTTACCTCCTAGAGAACTGGGCCCCACCCCAGGACTAGAGGCAAGTGGAGGTGACACCTGAGGCAGTAGGGGTGGTCCTTGGTATGGTAAGCAGATCCTTTGAGACGCAGAGTACCCATGAGGCCGCAGGGACTGTGGGCTGGCTGCTTCTCACAGTATTAAAAAGGTCCAAGAGACCCAAGAAATGGCTGCATGAGAAGGTGAGCTGCAAACTTCTGTGTATTCACTGAGGAGGGAGATGGCATTGATGCGGGAGGCGGCACGAGAATGCAAGCTGCAAACTTCTGTGAATTCCCTGAGAAGGGAAATGACATTGATGTGAGAAGAGGTGCATGAGAACATGAGCTGCAAATTTCAGTGGATTCCCTGAAGAAAGAGATGGTATTAATATGAGAGGAGGCAGCGGGAGAGCGCCAGCAGCAAGGTGCCATTGGAGATGAGACGGCAGCGCTGCCAGGTGCTCTGAAGGAGGAAGAGGCCATCAAGGAAAAAGACGTACTCCTGCGGGAAGCACAGGCGGAGGTGGCATGAGAACACCAGGTGCCAAGCATTGAGTTGAAGGTCAGAGAGCTT